AAAAAAAAAAAAAAAAAACATTAACGAGAGATCATCTCATTGGCTATAACACGATAGGTGTTCGTTCTTTTTTTTTTGTAATTAATAAAAGAAAAGAAAGAAAGACGTTCAACATTCGTAGCAACAAAAAAGAAAAAGAAATGAAAAAAATGATCTGCAATGTGACATTGAAAAAATATTACTATTCATAAATAATTTATGAATAGTATTGAAATAAATTGCTATTATAAAATATTTCATGTATGTACAATAATTTGAAAAAAAAAAAACACAAAAAACAAAAAACGAAAAAAAGAGAGAAGGACAAAGAAAAATTTCGATTAAACTGCGATAATGTGTGTATCCAAACTGGATAGATAAACTTCTTCTTGACCATAAAAGAAAAGAAAAGAAAAAAAAAAAATGACAAGATAAGATAAGAAGAAACAAACTGGACGACGACATGGTCGTGAGAGAAGTTTTTTTTTTTGGGATATTTTTCTTATAGATATATGTGCGACAGTCAACTCCATCCATCAGAAAAGCTTTGTCAATTCAGCATTCTCAACGTATGTATTATATATAATGTAATTGACTGAGAAAAAAAAAAAAAAAGAAGAAGAAGGTTCAATGATGAAATATCATTAAACCCAATTAGATTGTATCATGCTTTCGTAGTATATAGAGATAAAAAGAGAGAGAAAAAAAAAATAACGAGGATCACAATTAAGATTACTCTTTGTTAAGCTTCATGGAGGATGGGGATGGGTGGGTAATTGTCCCTAATAAATAAATAAATAAATCAATAAATAAATATATCATCTCTCTTTCTTTCTATTTTTTTTTTCTCTATATGATGGAAAATTATGAATTAAACAGTGCATTTACAAATAATATACAACATAAATTACAAAAAACAAAAAAGAATTTTTATCTGAATATAATGAAAGAAAGTGAGAGATTTTATCCTTGAACATCATCCAAGTAGATAAAGGAATCTGATGAATATGAGATGATTCATTTTGAAATAAATACGCGCGTATGTTTTGTACGTAAGTAAATAGACGTACGTGCGCATATAATATATATATATACATGTGTGTGAGTATGTATGTATGTATGTATGTATGTATGTGCGTGTGCCAATTGTATCCTTTGTAAGGCTCTCCTCCCTCTCAACCCTCAGCCCAACCTATGTAAATAATATTTCAACT